ACCAAACAAAACAAACCGAATAAAACCCCACCAATGGTAAAAACGCAAAGAAGGTCTGCTAAGACAGCAGGAATCTCACTGACCTAGCATGCAGGCCAGCTGCTACTGAAACCCAAGTCTACAGGTACTTTATTATTGAAACTGTACTTTGAATGCAGCAGAAGATGGTTTGTCAAAAACTGAATTCAGCAGAACTCAGGCAGTTGTAGTCACTGGAATAATCAGCTGGCAGAGAACGGCGTTTGAAAACAGTACACTCAGTTTACACACGTGTGTTGAAAAAAATACACATGTGGGTAAGCTAGGAAGCAGTAGTACTATGTCAGGAGCCAAATTGGTGGTCAGATAAGAAGTCAGCACTGAAAAGGCTAGTAAGACTGTAATCAGCTGGAAACTTTTATTTACATGCACCACCTTCAACTCTAGTAATATAACATGCATTACAGCCTTTCACTGTGACTCTTGCCAGATATTCTCTCAGTTGCTCTGAAAGCTGGGATCACCAGCAGTCACTTGCAGCAAGGCCACCATAAAAACATAAGAAGCAGGAAAGAAGTCCAACAGTTCTTCACAAAGCAGAAGCACACAGTGTAAATGACACAAACCTTGTGCTGTGTGCCATTTCTCTCTTTCAATCCCCAGTTTAAAAAATATCTGCTAACATGTAAGAAAACATCTGACCCATACTTCAATCAAATCATTTGGCAGAAAAAAATACATCACAAGAAAACACTGAGCTCCTGTGCAGGACGAGGCTGAGCACTTGGGAGCAAACTTTGTAACATGAAGATAAGAATCTCCTACCCTTCATGGATGAAAAACTCTTACAGGCTTGACAATATGAACACGTTCCTTCATTTAACTGAAGAAAGACAACAACTTTTGGGGATCTCACATTATTCTCATCAGGAAAAACTTCAAAGGGTGATAGCAGAAGCCCCCCCAATATCTTATTCCAAGTGACACAAATCGCTCCAGTATGACCTTGAGGGTTTCCTCTAGGATAAATCAGTTGGGGTATTTTAACCATCACGCAGCAGAACACATTTGCAACACCAACAAATTAGATTTAACTTAAGATACAGATGAAAGTGATAGAGCAGCTTTAATGTCAATAACACAGCAACCTTGCTGTTGGTAGGATACCAGAAATCAGATCTTGTCTCAAGAGTCAGACAAGACTGAAGGTTGCAAGCCCTGTCTTACACTGATAGGATACAGGATAACTGAAGGAGTGAATACTGATGAATTACTCTGAGCTTTATGAGGATGAAGAGTGTGGTCATTCTTATCGTTTCCCACACCACCTCTCCCACCAGCATTAAAAGAGTGACTGCACCTGTGTTGCCCACTGAAGTTGTGAGTGCCAGGTCCCAAGCAGTGTGTCATACAGTTCAGTCAGCTGCCGATTCAAGCTTAAGTCACTCTGGCAAAGATCCTGCCACACTGCCACCAGCTGCACCTGCAGGGGTAACAAGAACCATTCTGAGAGGAGAACCAACAGCTCACAGATCTAGATTTTGTTACTGCAAACCAAGATCTTCTCAAGCAAAGCTCTTCTGCTAAACACCACCCACCCTGAATCTCCAGATTTTAACATAACGCTTTGCCATAATTCAGCACCACAGAAGGAACCAACTTTCAGCATGAAGTTGGAGGCTTCTTAGCTGATTCAAAGTTTTAATTAACATTGGTATTTGACTCATAAAATGAGACTGTAACCGATACCCCCACACAATAGTTGAAATACCTGGCAAGCCCTAGCCTTGAACTTAATCCTCAAAAGTCACAGTCATGAGAGAACTGCTGAGGATCAGGTTATGGCTACAGAACTGTCTGGAATTCCAAGTTTTAATCTTACCTGAAAAGAGTTTACAGAAGTCAGCAGCTGGCAGGTTGCAGCAATAAAGTTACTACTGACATTGTCACCTCCAAGAAAAGCAAAGCAAGAACAACTACAGGTCACACAGATAACTCAAGCGGAACGCACATATCCTATCCTTATTTAAAAACAGAAACACAAAGCCCTCAATGGAGGATTACTTGCAAAACACGAGGAGTGACCAAAGTTGTTAAGAGCCAAGAGGTTCCATCGTCTTCGAACAAAGCAGGTAATGTGATGTAACAGCTCCCCCTACAGCCTAAGCCAAGCAAGCATTCAAGTTTTCGTTTCTCCACATCACTATCCAAATACTTACTTTGTGACACTTATAATAATAAGCAAGAAGCTGAGGCATTCGATCAATTTCAGCGAAGACCTTCACAAACATCTTTGCCTGATCTAATTAAAACAAAACAAAAAATAAATGGGCAGTTAACGATCTCCAAGCAATGATGAAACATCACACCTACAAAAGATCACATCCCCAGAGCAAGAGAAATCTTCTCTTAAGTGAAAATGCACAATGGCAAATGAAGAGGGACACACTTTAATCATCTGTTTGCTCATCTTTTCAAATAGAAGAAAAACTGCCTAAAATCCCCTTTCACATGAGAACATGCAGCAGACTTACAATTAATTTATTTAATGTCATAACAAGCAAAAGCTTCCAGCAGAAGATGGACAGAACAATTCTTAGAAGGAAATCATTTTCCAGGAAAAAAAAAAAAAAGATGCTATCTACAAAACTGAAAGACACCTGTAAGTCCTCCATTTTGCTTCCACTGCTCTTCAAACTGCTATCTAAAATAGCAGTTTGAAAACTGACTGAGCACACAGCCTCTTATACAAAGCCTTTAAACTCAAGTTCTTTACAAGTCTGTTTTGTACCACAGTAATGATGACTACAGCTCTCTCCAGAAAATGCTTACGGGGTTAGAGAAGCTAGTAATAAGATCTTTCTTTTCTGAAAAGGACCCAGAGAGGAGACGCACTGGAACACAAAGTCATTTAAGTGCTTTGCAGATAGGAAAGTCAGAGAATACCAGCTCTCTGGTGATACATATTACCTTCAGAGGAGCTGGCAACTGGCTGCACCACAAAAAGCACACAATCCACACCCAGGGGCCTTTAGGACACACATATCTCCTTACCCAAATATTTTACTTCTTGAATAAAAACTCTGTATTTATAGCAAATGACATCAAGCCTCACTGACCTACAGACTGAGAGTTAAAAGCAGCCACAATCTGTGGGCTGGCCATGGCCTCCAGGCGGTTCTTCAGAGCCTCAAGATGCACACACTTCTCAGAGTAATCCGGGGTATCCACAAGCATAGCCAAGCTGCTCTGCATACTTGTTAGCTTGGCTGAAATTGCAGATACATCCTGCCACCAGGAGAGGAAAACCAGCTTATTGAACATGACATTACAAAGCATTAATACCTGTTTCATAATGACTTCTTAGCATCACTTCAACAATCTGCTTTTAAAGACAGTTTTCTTAGAAACCTGAAGGGCCAAAGACCAAAATAACCTTGTGGCCTCTACCTGTGTTTTAAGGGTCTCTTCGATATCTGCACTTAATGTAGTCCATTTGTCTGCTTCCTGGAGAGACTCGGCAGCCAACTGCATTCTAGATTTCACTCGGTCAATCTCTACCAGGACCTAGAAAGTAATAATAATCAAAAAAGTACACTGCCTGTTGATACAAAAGATAACTGCCATAGCTGCTTATAGTATGGGAGTTATTTTTAGTTGGGATTTTAAAACTGGGTGAATTGATCACAGCTGTTACAAGGAGACAGGAGTTAGCTAAAACAGATGGCAATATTAAAGTAACTTCCCAAAGCCAAACTACCAAAGGTTCACTCAAATCCTTGATTTATACTTCTGCAGCAACTTGGCCTGATGCTGGGTACCCTGTTATCAGCAGGGAGAACTCTGGGCCATCAGTGTTACAACTGATAACAGTAGCAGATGAAACTGTTTGGCTGTCCGTAATGACACAGACATGAAAACAGGTTAAAAGATGAATATAAGGACAGGCTGGAAGAGCTGGAGAAAGAAACACTCCAGGGAGACCTGACAGCTGTCTTTCGGTATATAAATGGGGACTATAAGAGGACAGATTCTTCAGCAAGGTCTGTTGCAATGAGGGGAAACAGTTTCAAATTGAAACAGGAACGATTTAGATGGGGTACGAGGAAGAAGCGCTTTACAGTGAGAGTGGTGAGGCAGTGCCCCATCCCTGCACACAGCCGCGGTCAGGCTGGATGGGGTTCTGAGCACTGATGGAGCTGTGGGTGTCCCTGCTCAGTGCAGGGAGTGGAACCAGATGGCCTTTAGAGAACCTTTCCAACTCAGATAATTCTACAACATGCAGGCTGCGTTGCTGGTGCAAGCCTTTCTCCCATTAATACTAAAAGAAGCCGTTTCATGCATCTTTAGCTCATTGAACCGGTCAGAACAAACAGCTCTGTGAACGCTGGACTCCACGCCCTGCTGTAGTCACTCAGTAAGGCAGGAGCCCACCTGCATCGACTGCGCCGTGTCCTCCTCAAACCTCCTGATGTCCTCCTTGACCAGCACCATCTGCTCCCGCAGGAAGGCCGCCTCCTGCCGCAGGGCCTCCACCTCGCGCAGCACCCTGGGCATGCTGTGCAGGGCCTGCTGGCTGGCTTCTGCGGGACAGAACGGCACAGCGGCGCGGGGCTGAGAGCCGAAAGGAGCCGACGCCCCTCCCACACACCCGCAGCCACGTCCCCGCCGCCCGCCCGTCACCTTCCACCACGTTGTTGACCTCCTGGATGAACACCTGCAGTTTCATCACCAGGGTGGAGGCGTGAGCGTCCGTCTGTCCGGCCGCGTCCTGCTGTCCGGCCCTGAAGGCCGCGTTCACCCAGCTCTTCACCTCGAAGTCATCGGCCATAAAGCGAGAGATATCCATGATTCCGCACCGGGCCCAGCAGGCAGCGCGCCCCGCCCCGCCCCGCGACGCGGCACCGCCGGCCCTCCCCGGGGCGGATCCGGGCCGTCCAGCACGGCGCTCCGCCCGGAACGGCGCCGTCCGCTCGCTCCGCCTCTGGAGCGCCGATAAATAAACACGAGGCCATGCCGGGTCCGCCAACAGCTTGTTTTTATGCAGCCACGCAGCGCGCTCGGCCTTAAAGCCAGGCCCGCTCCTCCAGCGCGCACGGAAAGAAGGAAAATCGGCCCCGAACACGGGAGGGAACGTCGGTGCGGAAGCAGAGGCAAGGCTGCGCGGCGCGGGCTCCGCAACGGCAGGGCCGGCGTGCGGACAGCGGCACGGTGCTGAGCGCCCCGCCTCCCCCGAGGCGAACCGCGACGTCCGGGCGTTCAGCCGCCCCACAGCTCCGCTCATGGGAAGCCGGTCACCTCTCCCACTTCGCTGACGGGCTGCTCGCCGTGCCTGAACGCCAGCTTGTACTTTAAACGGACGGGATCCTGGGAAAGAAGAAAGCAGAGAGGCGCGTGTCACAGCTGCAGCCTCGTGGGCCTCCTTCCATCCCATCCCTCACAGCCCTGCTGCACTGAATCACCCTCTGGAAGGCCTCTGCAGGGCCAAGATAGTAATGCAAGAGCCGTGCAGGTCTCTGCCCAGCCCCCACACGCTTGGAAATCCAGGCCTAGACACCCCCCTCAGTGATGGGAAGAATCCCAACATTGTTCTTGTGGCCCATAAATATTCATGAGTACAACAAAGGTGACACACATGGTCGTGCCATTCGCTGCTGATAGCTGCAGGGTCTCCCAGGTGTCATCCCAGCAGGCAGACAAGCACAACTGCGCAGCCCACTGCAGTCATGGCACATTCAATCCTGAAAAGCTGTTGCAGAGGAAAAAATGTCCTCCATCACAACCCACTGCATCCCTCCCACACATCTCCTTGCAGACAGCACTACCTGTGCCCTTCACACAAATACATTATGGCCACATTCAGTGACCCACCGCAGAACCACTGCCACATACTTTGTGTGGATTGGCAAGCAGCAGGACCTGAGACACCACTGCTGGGGGAAGCAGCGGGCTGAAGGCTGGGAGCTCAGAACCGGATGCTGGTTGCAACTTTATTTTCATGGTCTGAAAAAGAAAGCAAAAGGAAATCTTTTGGTCCACAGTGAAAGAGAGCTGGGAGTACTAAGCAGCTCCGCAATTTAGTAGACAAGTCAACCTCCACCTGAAGGAGGACATTCCTAAATAGGCAACTCTATGCTGCATGTACACAGGTACAATGAGTATCTTATTAGGAGGTTAAAGCAGTGTGTCTGGAGCTTTGCTTCTTTCTTGCAAGGCCAGGGATCTACTCTGTGAAACAGGCACCTGAGCCACAGGTACTACCTGTGCAGTTTGGGAAAATGAGCCATGCAATTTTTAATATACAAAGAAAAATTCTAAGGATGAAAAGGCAAACCTCCATTTTTGAGCAGCCCCACTCCATTTTATTCATCGTAGGCTTCTTACCTTTGGGACTGCAGCCTGAAACACAATGTCCTTAATTGGCTGAGCTGAGGTGCTCAGCATGGAGAGAACCATCACCAGCACATCTGGTCGGCCAGGAGCTGGGTCTCTGGAGAAGTGGAGCATAGCTTTGAAGCCATCTCTGTCATACACTGTAAGTGGACAGATACTACCTGCCGGAAACAAAAGGAAAATAAGAAACAGAGCATGGATTTCCCCGCTCTTCTGAGTGCAGAACAGTGAAGGTAGGCTAAGAACAGCAAAAAGGAAAAATTCATACAAACTTTTACTTGCTCTAGCAAACTCGTAGGCCAAGCAGTGGACAATGCTGGCCTGTGATTTACATTTCACCTCCAAAGTACAGAGAGGAATCTACATGTCATGAGATATGAGGTGACTAGCCACTGAGATTTTAACTGTCAGTTAAAGAGATGACCTACAAATCCAAAACAATGGGAAAAGCAAAAATATAACACTTCAGCAACTTACAGGACTTAGCCTCTTATTACCAGGGATAAATCCACAGCTGGCCATCACCATTCAGCCTTTCCAGAATCTGCTAAGTCCTTAACTTCAGAGACTGAAGTCAGAAGACAGTTCCGCCTTAGGACCTGTAAGTATCTTTTAAGCCTCTGGAGAAGCACTGCTTGAAGCTTCACAGAAGATGCCAGAATCAAAGAGTTTAGGAGCACACTAAAAAGATTAGCCAGGGCATGAAACTTCTGACTACTGAATAGGACATTGCCATGGCATCATTCCCAGCTCTTGCTCAGATTCTCAGATACATTAAATCCTTCATAGAACAGCCAGTTTTCTCCAGCTGACCCTCACAGCATGAAGCTACTTTGGCTTGCTTGCTCCCCTGCAAAAATCACAGAAGAGCTCTATTAAGCAGAGCTGGGGCACAGAAATCATTGCACTTACTCAGTGTAATTGAAATTAAAGGGACAAAAAGGTTTGCTAGAGAAGCATCATTGGAAGCTGGATGCAAAGAGGCAGCAGGCTTCAGCTCGTAGCCTAGGCTGGAGAATGAAGGATCTGCCATTGAGCTATTTGGAAGATCTGGAAAGGGCAATTTCATTGGTGATAAATCCCTGGAAAGAAAAGCATGTAGAGAGCTTATATTAACTGGGGAGAGTACATGGTATATACCATCCTCTGCTGAGTCTGTGTTTGTGTTCCCAATCCCTCATCCCTTTTAGGTACAAAGTACAAGCTTACTCTGATTTCCTAGGAAGTTTGAAAATAGTCTCTATTTTGTATGGAAGACACTGCTGTTTCAGCATTCACTAAGGCAGAGACTTGTTCCTGTTACTGTCATGAAACTGTTATGCAGGCTCTCTGGAGCTCTGTCAGTGAGATTAAAGTTCTAGTTCAGAGTTAATGCAAAAGGCTAGGAATCTCCAGAAACACTTCTTGGCCTACATTCTGGCAGATTGGATAAGTTGGATAAGCTTATGATAATGGTCACCTGCTCTGAAGACCTGTAGATGATAAATCTGTTAGGCTTCTAATGAATGCCAGGAAACTATCTTGTCAAAGCCTGAAAAAAAGCTGAAGAAAAGAGATCTGACTTGGATGTTTTTGTTCCTTTAGCTCAAGAACACCTTGTTGCTAAGCCATTGGATTTGTTCCACCAAGTTTCTGACCCTGTGAAGGCCCAGGTGTACAATTGTTTAGAGTTAGAATTAATAGGTGCACAGCTGCTGCTTTAAGAGCCAGTGCACGGATGCACAGCTTGCCATCATTACCCAGTTGTAGCTAAAAGGTTTTTCCAAACCTCACTGCTGTAAAAATAGTATTTCTCCTCTCCAAAGTCAGACTGTATTGTGTAGAGCTCACTTACGGGGATAACATCTTGGTCCTGGGAGGTGGAGAGAGCTGATCGAGGCTCCAAAATTCATTCTTCTCTGAGCAGCTGCCTCCCCAGCTTTCCTCCAATTCCAGTGGTTCAAAAGCACTTACATTTTTACTACATCCATTGTGCACAGCAGCCTGGAAAAGAGGCACTTCTGGTTCATGCTGCAGATCACCAGGAAAATAAATAAATAAAACCTGTTCCACTAAATATATATATATATATATATTTTTTTTAAATTAACATAAGGTTAATTAAAGTAGAAATAAATTTGAGTAATCTGGTTTTGCAAACTGCAACCCGTATATTCATTGCACTGCAGGAGGTTTCCCTTCAGAATAGAGGAGTGTAAAAAAAAGATAAAATAGGCTGCAGGAGAAAGATGGGAGATCAAGAATCCTATCTGATGTTTGCCCTTTGTGTCTTATGGACTTCGTAGCTGAGGATCACTCACCTCTGATAAGCCAAGGTCAGGCGGCGGCTTCTGTAAAACCAGAGAGTCACTGAGATCTAAGAAAGATACCCAAAGGCACAGATCAATTACAGAAAACAGCTGTTTTCCCCACAGATTCTTCCCTCATTGTCTAACAGCAGTTTGCCTTTAACACCATTAAAGCAACTATTCTCCTAAAAACCTCCCCTAGCTGAAGGGCCTGCTTTCTTTTAAGATGAGCACTGAAGTCAAAATTCTGTATTTATGAAGTATCACAAACCCCAGTAACAAGGCTAAGGCTGTAGTGAACTGTATGTACAAACCTAATGATTTCAGCTCCTCCTCCAGCAGACAAGCAGAGGTGGTGCTGCTGTGTCGCGAGGCAGAGGGGATGTCTGAAAACTGGTCTGCAGGAGCCTGGGCCATGGCCTCCAGCTCAGAGAAGTCGATCAGTGTATAGCTCTTCACGCGCCTCGGGGGCGTCCGATGTGCTTTGGAAAGAACAGGAAGAGTTACAGAGAGATCTGAAAGCAGCAGGGCACATGGAACTACAGGCACATGCTAAAGGACTCAGCTGAAGAGCTCCAGGAACATTGTCATTCAACCACACGTAAAAGAAAATAGCTATGTAAAAGTTTTCATGTGCTGAAGGGTTTTGCCCACGTCTGTCCTCTGAGAAGCAGTTCCCTTTCAGATTCCCTCACCCATTAAATGCAGGAGGCAGAGCTGTCATGGAATGCTGTGGAGTTCTTTACCTGGTGCATCAGAGGAGCTGCTGGCTGAACAGCCTCCCCCACCATCCTCGTGACTGCCTACAGTCTGCCTGTACCGTCCCAGCACCTGCGTGAGCTTGTCGTTGGCCTGCAGCAGCTCAGCTGGAAAAGAAGAGAGACCACCTTTGATGGAAGAAACTGGATTTGTTATTTAACTCTGGGCTCCAAGTGAAAATTGATAGCTCCTCTGGGGAGGAGTAATTTTGTGCCACTTCCCAAACACAGTTTATCATTCCAAGCAGAAATCTTGGGTAGCACATGTGTAAGCATTCCTTCAAGGAAAGGAGTACTTCACTTTGGAAATGAACTTAAATGATAACATAAACACAAATGCAAAGGGTTCCAAGGGCAGCATTGGCTCTTACCTAAAGCCTCATCATCATCAACTGTCTCACTGGCCAGGCGGAACAGCAGCGGTCTGAGCTTCTCACAGCGCTGGAATAGGCTCTGGGGAAAGAACCATTTCATGTCATTGCTCAGAAGATCCTCAACACTCTCACACTTCCGTATGTTCCTGTGAACACCTGTAAGTGATGCTACCTCTGGAACAAGCAGCTGCACGTTCTGCTTTGGTCCAGGGTATCAGTGCTGCGTGCTCCTGCACTCTTACAACACAGTGACCTGTAAGCACAGGCACTGAGCAAAGTGCTGTTGCTGGTACCTGTTCAGCAATCACATCTCCTCAATGCATACAGGTGTAAGATGAGTCAGTGTAAAATTTTCCAATTAAAAACTATCCAGAAGCAAATGGATAAATCACAGTAGTCAGAAAAGTGACCATCAGTTTCTAATACCATCAGAAAAGACAAAGCCCATCATGGCTCTCTTCTCAGTATTTTGGAAGTGAGTAGGCACAGCGGAAGCCATTTTTTTCTTTCATCTATAGTACAGTCTTTATCACCTCCTACAGCCACAGCCCTCCCAAATGAAGCTAACTCCAAACTCTCAGTCACATACAAGTACTTCCCTACAAAAATTAGAAAAATTCAGTGGTCAGTAGTTTTGAAGCAGACCAATGAATTCTGATCCAGAAAAAGGGAATCACAGCAACCAGAATACAGGTCAAAGATCCAATAGTTTTGAGCTTCCCTGATCACACCTCCTCATGCCCATCTAACCACAACTGGGCTAAGGGAATTCCCATGCGTTACTCCACTGCTGGAGGAAGAATCACTTCCCCATAAGATATCACAAGAAGAGCAGCTGACCTGAACAGAAATTAGAACTGGCACAGCAAGATCCATTTCAACTTTGTTACTCAGATGAGAGGGACTGTCATTCACCACACTGGAAGTTATTCCTGCTGTGGTAATGTTCTTCCCTTGCAGAAATGAACTGCAGCTTGCTGCCAGTTGAATCCTGTTGTTCCAGGCCCTCCCAGCCACAGCCAAAAGAACCTCTCATGAAGGAAAAAGGAACACCTACCTGGAGCGTTTCATGGTCAGATTTGGGTAATTCCTGTCTCTTATAACCTTCCAGCAATTCATCCATTCGTTTAACGTTTTCAGAAACTTCACTGATTGTATTCACTCTTCTGGACACCTTAGCTGACTTTTCTTGTTCCTTTGAAAAATGAAATAAAAGTAGATGACTTGGCTAACACAGCCAGAGAACATGCTTGTTTTGGTCACTCTGGATCCCTCTTGGTGCAGGGCAGTTTCCTATAAATGTCACTGGATACAAAGTATGGCACAAAATCCACAGAGAAGCTCCAGTATCAGTGCTGTGCCATCCATTGGTATTGAGAAAGGAGGCAGTACGCCTCCTGTCCTTCTCATAGCACTGGGCAGCCTGTGCTGGTGTACAGGGATGCATTACACCACAGGCATAAAGAAGCCTTCAAAATTAGAGCTGGGAATTGATGGCTTCTGCCACACAGAAGGGCACTCGATGACTGCAATAAGGTTTTTTGTTTCGTTTTGTTTTTAAAAACAGAAGCAGGCTGACCTTTCAGATGGGAAATGAGAACCAGACAGACACAGTGCCTACAGGAGAAAGGCAGTTCCCTACAAGTGTAGCCCTTTCCCACCTAGGAACCCGAATAGTTCATCTGAGTCTGATGTTAGAGTACGGTTCCCATTACCACCCCTGGTGCTCCCTTTAATGCCAGGATGGTGGCAGACATTCTGGATGTCATATATAGAACCCACAGTCACAGACAGAACTGCCAGGTCCCCTACCATCCCTCCTTCTGTCCGGAGGGGCTATGGCTCTCACAGATACCCACCTCCTTGATCATGCTCTTGATCAACCGGTTGGCAGCCTGCAGGTCCTCAGCATGGCTGCTCTTCAACAGTCTTGCTAGGAGCTGTGAAGGGAAACCATGGGCAGCAATCAGCAGCATTCTCCAGCCACCGTGTTGAGTATGCCCCACAGGTACACCCCCCAACAGAGCAGTACTCAGGGATACCCACTGTCAGCAGCTCAGTGCAGACAGTTGAGAACAATGACTTTCTGGCATCAGGAGCATGAGAAAAAGGGGGGAAGATGGCCAAGCCCAGGACAGCACAGAGCAGTGCAGCAACACAGCATGGGGCAGCAGAACTGCTGCAGGGCCCAGAGGGGCCTTCCTACTGAAATGCAAAGAGAAACCAACTATTTCTGTAAAAGTGTTTCACTTTTGACCAAGCAATGCTTTCTGATGAAATATCACAGAATTCTTCACTTGTTGTTCAGCAGAAGCATCAGCATTGTTCTGAAGCAGCACAGCATATATCTGCATGCGCTCTCAGCAGTAAAAATCATAGGGGGAGCAGGGAGGAAAGCCTTGGGGTTTACCTTGGATTTCTCTTCATCGGTGTCAAAGATGGAGTTCTGAGGTCTTGGAGAAGGGGGAGGTAAGATTTTGTCTTCTGGCAATTTGGGGTCTTCTTTTACAATCCCTGGAATGATAAACAGCATTGCTTCAGCAGTGCCTGAGCTGCCACAACACAATGCTCAACAGCATGCTGGTCCTGCACCCAGCTGCGCACCTGTGCCCAGCATTGCACAGAACAGCATCCCAAAAAGAGAGCCTGAATGTGCTCTGTACCTTTTCACCACACACCCAGAGGTGAGCATTGTGAGAACAGTGGCCACAAGGCTGGAATGGCTCAATACAACCATGGTTGGTTAAATCTCTTTACACAGTTATGGGCATCCCTGAGCAGCCCAGCAGCCTTTGGAAGCAGCCTTTGTCCTTTCTCCCTCACACAGAATGCCTTACAGAAACAGCTGAGTCACAAAAGCAAAGAGGACTGAGAAGTGTGGGCTGAAGCCACGTGACTTCAAAGTTAAAAAGGAAACTGAAATAACAGAACTGAACCTTGTTTCTTCAACATCTGATAAGCATCCCGGATTTTAACTTCCTGAGGAAACCAAACTGTCCAACTGAATATTATTTCTGTCACTCTGGACTTGACTTTTTCCGAAGACCACGTTCCATAGTACTGGGGAAGAACAACAAAAAAAGAAAAATAGATCAAAACTGAAGAGTTTGCACCATGTATTGCATACAGGTCTGGCCCCAAGTTGCTTGCGTGCAGAGCTCAAACAGTAAACAGACTCCCAACGCACACAGTGCTGTCAGCTGTGTTTCTTGCAATACATGAAACAGTGTGCACAGCATTGGCTGTAAATAAAAGCAATGCTATTGCATGTGTGCCAATGTCATTAATATTATTTGACAATCAACACGAAACCAGTTCAAAGGCTCCCTGATCAGTTACTACATCTGAAACCAAAAGCTGCTTTGTAGCTCTTTTAATGAAAACAGCCCTGTGCTTTATTCAGGCTGACCCTGCCCCCATGAGCAGGGCCCAAACTTGGCTACCTTCCATGTAAGGAAGCAGTGAGGACAGGAGTTACAATCATTACTTTCTTCACATCCACTCCTTATGCTCAGAGGCGCAGAACAGAAATTCTGCTCTACTCCTACATGACATTCATTCTAAGCTTTTCCAACCGGGCTGAAACACACAGCACACCCCTTCACCATGTGCTGGGCAGCCACAGCCACCCACCTTTGGGGACAGCACTTTAATCAGCTCATTCAGAAACCGGAACTTTGCTATTTCATTGTGAAATTTCTCACCGCAGTTATTCACACATGTCTCCAGCACCTGCAGAAAAGGAGCCAGTCAGAAAACAGAGCTGTACCCACACAGCTTAAGGAATTCATGAAGACTTTGTTACTACAATGTTACATTTAAGGCCTTTCCAGCACAGCGTGCACACAGGTTGCACAGCAAAAGTGTCTTTTCTTCATCCAACCCCCTCAAGAAAGGTGCTGAAGATCACTGTGCTGTCCTCCCCTTCATTAACAACTTCTGGAGCTGCTGACTCAGAGGCAATAGCACAGACGTGACAGCTGGAACCGGGATCCACAGCAGAATGCCACAGAAAGGAGCCAAAGAATTCACTCCCTCTGCGATTCCCCGGTTTCTCCATTCATTGTGTAACCAAAAGCGGGGTATACATCCACGGAAAAAAGAAACGGGGGCACATCAGGAGGAAAAAGAAGTGGCAGCAGTCACTGCCCCAACCCCGCAGATTGCGATCATCGCTGCCTCTCCTCGCACGTGGTCGAGAGCACTTACTGTCAGCGCATGGAGAGCTTCCACCTCCTGGGGCGACTGTATCTTGTGCGCCAGCAGCCGCGCTGCCAGCGGTGGGCTGGGGAGCAACAGAAGCAGGTCAGTCAGCGCTCGAGATCCCCAGAGAACCCAGCGCTGCTAACGGTGCCCCTGCGGGGAAGAGCCATCGGCCGACCCGAGCGCTTCGCTGCGGGCAGGGCTGCGGGCTGAGCAGGGCCGCCGCTCTCCTTACCCCTCCGCGTCCGCGTTCAGCTGCGCGCAGAACTGCTGGATGCATTCCCAATTCTCCTCGGCGACACCCGGGTCGGTGGCTTCGTCTTACGCGGGGGAAGAAAGAAAAGGTTTCTGCGTGAGATCGCGAGGCACAGACGGGGAGGGGCTCAGCACCGGCCGCTCCGCTCGGGGCCTTTTCGTGAAAGGCAGAAATGGAAGGCGAGCGACGGGCAGGAAGCGATCATCACCGACATCTGCGTAAAAACGCAGCGCCGAGCCCCGTCTCAAGAGCCCAAGGTGGGAGCGGAGCGCTCAGCCCCTGCAGCGCGGAGCCGCGGCACGCTCCCAGCCCGGCCCGCCGCGCCCGCAGCCCCCGCCCCGCCGCTCCAGCAGCTCCCCGCCCGCCCTCGGGCACAGGGCGGCCGCAGCGCTGCCCGCGCCCCCTCCCCACCGCACTCACTCAGCCACCGCTGCAGCCGCTCCGAGCCGGCCATGGGCTCCCGCTGCGTCCCGCTCCGCCGCCCCGCCCGCTCCCGGGGCCGCCCAGGAAGCGCTCCTCGCAGCGCCGGCCGCGCCCCGCACCCCGCACCGACAGCACGCAGAAAGGTGGTTTTGGTGACGGCTGTCACCAGAGCGATTTAACACTTAAAGGTCAGCACTCCAATAGGGAGAGTTCCACATTTCAGCTGAACCACGCACACAGTTCAGTGAGTTTAAAGTCCTTTATCCACAGCAGCAGGTAGCAGCTGCTCACCCCCCCACACCCCTCCAACACTGCTCTGGTGCTGGCCGGGCTCCTCCAGCTGCAGGGCAGTGCCCAGAGCAAGGTGGGCAGCTGGCTCAGCACTGCCTTCCATCTGTAGGCACTGAACTGCTGATAGAAGTCACTGGATTCCAGCCAGAACACTTGGCTGTTTCCACAGGGTGACAGTACAAGGACAGACCTCTCTGTATGCAGCTCCTCTCCCATACAGACTGCCTCATGCTGAGTGTACAGACACACAGACACCCGCGTGGCCCAAAGCCCAGCACATCTGATCAGAGACAATCACGCTGTCACCAAGAAGTCCGGCTTTGGAAGATGACAGGTGGTACCCACACCTCCTGGACCCACGCTGGCTGTCCATGCTGTGGGTCTCACATTAGCTGGACAGCACTTTGCGTATCCTTCCACACACTTCTCTGGGGCCCAATGTCACCATCATCTCAGCGACGCTCGGTCCATGCTGAAAGCACAGAAGAAATCTTTGTACGAATGGAAACTTACACTTTCCAGAACAAAAGTCCGTACCACCAGGCAGGAAGTGATGAAGCGACAAGCTATCAGATTGCTGTTAGACCAAGGGCAGGGTTGTTGTTTTTTTTTTTTAAAGCAATCTCAAAGCAAGACTTATATCTTTATTCCTGAAGTAAAACAGTCAAGCTGAACAAAACAACAACCCCACAGCTTAAGCCAGAAGCAGGCTGTGAAGAACGCCTCCTGTAAAACTTGGGTTTGAACTTTGTACAGCAGATGAATGCAGAGCACTGCACTCAAGATCCTCATTAGCATTAAACTCACAAGGCTGCAAACGCCCTCTATAGCTGGTCTAGAAGTTTTGCTAACTTCATGTTTGCAAGCAGCATATCCATGCCTTAAAAAGGCCTTTCTGGAATTGTCATAACAGCCCTTTCTTCCAGACCTGTTTTGTGTCAGTACTTTCACTCCTAACAGCAACTGACATAAATTCTTCTAATAAGTCCAGCCCAAATACTGCTATCTTGATAGTGCAGGAAGACAGCTACTTAAAAACCACACACAGAACCGGAAGGCCCCAGCACCAGAATTGTTTTTTTACCTGCTGCCCACTGAGAGCCAGGCGGAGGAGCTTCATCATGCTGCTGTACTTGGTCTCTCTGGTCTGCTTCTGGAGGTTTCTGAGGTCTTTGTTCAACTCCTCAATGGTCCAAACAGCTGCTGGCTTTGTCATAAGCCTTTAGGAAATGAGTAATTCAGACTTCTGAATAAATGCAGTTTTTAGAGATGCAGGAGCCAATGCTGGCAGCATCAGATGTAGACAGCAATACTACTATCTCCACAGGACAGGCAGGATTCTGGCATTTAAATTGCCATCACCTGTATTCAGTTACCACTCAGCTGTGACAAGTGACTGGGGGCAATCAGCTTTGCAGACAGCTGAAACTAATAGACAATTTTGCAGCTATTGCCACCTCAACTTCTCTCTGAGGTGTTCAGGGCTCATTTTCATCAAAAGCTTTGACCTGATATACACAGAATCTGAACAGAAAGAGAGATTGACATGGCATCCCTCCCAGCTGCCAGGCATGCAGCAGCAGAGGAACACACAAGGCAGCAGTGAAACATGCTGGCAAAGCTCCACAGAATTCCTTGGTACAGAAGAAAGGACCTAGCAGAGGTTGGAGAGACAGTCTGCCATCCCAGTGATGCTTTGGACTGGAGAGAAATGCAGACTGCTAGCTAGAGGCTAAGAAATGAAAACCAGAGGATTGCCCCAGGGGTGAGTGCTTTGGAGGCAGTTAATTCTGCTGGGCATAGACTGTATTCATTCCAGAGACCCAGCAGACTTGTGACCAAACCACCTTGTCCTTCTGTCAGATGCTGCAATGGACAAAGATACAGGAGATCAAGCAGCACAGAAAAGCTCTTGGTTTTCTTCATCAGCACTATGTTGGCACATAAATGTATTGTGCCCAGTGCTTTACAAAGCACAGACATGACAATTATTGCCTAAGAGCCTTAACGTGAGATTTCCTGCTGGTAAACAGTCTTTCAATTAAGTACATACAAAACTTCTTAGTAGTTATTAACTGCAGCACATTCTGAAGTGAAGCAAAATACATAAAAACCATGAGCACGTCCAAGATGAATACAGCAGCCAAGCAGCAATGCCATGGGACATCAGGTGGATGTGTACAGAGCTGCAAGGTGACACTTACCCTAGGACTAGTTTTCCTATTTCATCTACTTCTGCAGAAATAGTCTGTAGATGCTCTCGGGACACCAAGGGCCTAACCCACAAGTAGGAATAGTTGCCCGACACCAGGTCCTTCAGATGGCTTATGTGGCCCTGGGGAAAAAAGGCAAAGTTGGCAAGACTGGGGTGACAGTGACAGTCTGGGGAGGGAAGACTTCCTTCTGTGCTTCACAAACAGCTGAAGAGGATCTCAGCACACTGCTGCCTTGTGCTTTGTGCCTGCTTAGAGAAAACGTCAACTGCTGACATTTTAGTTGCTGTTTTTCACACCCATAACCTCCTGGTGCACACGGAGATACAAAAGCAGCCTCAAGGGTTTGGTACCAGTCCTGTACATGCAGCTGACTCACTCTGTCCCTGGAAGTGGCTCGCCACACTCAGTTGCTGCCTCTCATGAGACGCACAGGGAGTCACATGGGCAGCCCACAGTGAAACCTCTGCTGACAGACAGGGTCTCTGCCTGCCCGTACAGAGGCTCTTTACTACTCTCAAGGAATCCCCTTGATCCTACAGCAGTATCCAAGGGGCAGACTGGGAAACTGCTGGGTTCATCCTCTTTCCTAGCACTGGAAAAAGCCAAAGTATCTCCTATCCCCTTTACAGCCTGCACTCTGCCACTGAGCTGAGACCAGGGCTCTGCACACCCAGGTGCCATTAGTTTAACTATCAAGATCTTCATCCATCTCTGCTAAGCAGTTGCTTTGACTTTGCTTTCAAAGCATGGAGCTGTAGCAACACAAGCATCTTTACATTGCCCAATCAGCAAAAAGCATGGGTGAACTGCCTGGTAGCATGAGGAGCCTGCTCAGTACAGATCTTTGCACCACGGGCACGTTCCATGCTGGACCATGAGGCAAAGCATAGCATGGAAGCCTTCAACTCTCATCTAAACAAAGCCACAGCTGACCTGATCCTGCAATACTAATAGTATTTCCATGGTTGGGACACATCCTCCCTCAACCAAAGGAGCTCTCTGCCAGCTAAACAAAGAGCCAATGAGGCCACAACCCTGCAAAGATTGCCAAGATATTCAGCAAGCTCATTCCTACAGGCCAGCCAACCACACCATTATATTTTGGCAGTAATGTGCACACCTGAACTGGCAGTTGCAGCCACTTGCTGTTGGCAGTCAGCAGAGCTCAGGTCAAAGCAGTGCCCCAAACTCAGCTGAGTCTTTACCCACAAAACCATGCATGCCCACGCTCCAGCTCTCCACAAAACAGTAATATCATTTTATCACTTCTCATACTTTTCTCAGCAGAAGGACTTGCTCCACGTACTCCTTTTCCAGAACCTCTTTATCCACTTGTTGATCCCCATAGGTGTGCTCCACCAGCAACTGCAGCTCTTGAATTAGTTTCTGTCGTAACGCTTCATTCTCAATATGGCGAGTGAGGTGCATCCTGGACAAAGAGAAACTGCTCTGGGTTTTGTTCACTCTAATCATCTCCATCTCATATTTGCCAGTTAAAACTAGAACAGTTGGAAAGGCAACATCAGACCTTGGACAGACATCCCAATAAAGTATTGAGTTTAGATCTACCACTGATATTTCTACCTGTTGAATTCTGGGAGTTTCTCAAGTTCCAGTAATGCAGAATGGGTTGTAATTCTGCCTATTTCAAACTGCGAGATCAGCTCCTCCAAAGTCCTCCCCATCTGTTTCTCTGCAAAATAATTCAGCAAGGTTATGACATACATTCACTCTCCAACAGAAAGATGAAGTCTCTCCTTTTCACCAGTAAAGGCAAGACCCGCGCTGGTATAGCAGCACAGCTGAGGGAACAGCGAGAAAGAAGGGTTGTTTCAGTGCTAGGAGGAGCAGGGACATACCCTGGCAAACAAGAGGTAACTTCTGGCAGGTATGCAAGGAAGCTGCCCCTTCTGTAAAACAGACTGATAACAAGGAACTAAAGCCGGGACACTCAGCTTTGCTCTATTTCACCCCTTGCATCACTCAGCTAACAGAAATAGTACTTGGCCAGGAGGCTTCCCTGCCCAGTGAAGGATTCACTCCCAAGCAGAGATCCTGAAACATAAATTAATGTGATAGTCACACAGACAAAACAACAAAAGGAATAGTAGACTCAACTACACATGGTCTTTCAGGTCAAACAGGAAATGTGAAAGATGTAATACACGACACTGCAATTATTAACCAGAGAACACAAGTTTTCCCAGGACTTTGCAGACAGTTTAATCCCTCTGAGACGAAGGTTGTCCCAGGTAGGAACACATTAAGCACCACTCAGTTTAAATGAGCACAAAGAGACAGAAAGATTCCCACCACCCTGTCCTGCATAGAAGCTCTGCAGAAGCTGTTGTGGCATTTCAGGGATAGAAGTCCACTCAGATCGCTTGCCTGACATCCACTTCCTTTCAAACACTGTCAATCTTCCATAATATTAAAATAAACCCATCCTTCCCCCTGAAGTCAGCCCCAAGGGGTTTCTAGCAAGCACCAAGCCTGCTCTCATTACCTGCAAACCCAGAGCCGCAGTTGGTTATCATGTCCAGCAGAGCCTCAGGCAGGTAGCCCTCCTGGGCAAAGTGCTCCAGGAAGATGTCCCCCTGCCTCTTGGACAGCTTACTGCCATCCTTGTTCAAAAGCAGTGGAAGGTGCCCGAACTGCGGGGGGTCCCAGCCAAAAGCTTTGTAGAGGAGGAGGTGCTTGGATGTTGAAGTAAGCCACTCAGTCCCACGCAGGACGTGGCTGATACCCATGTGGTGGTCATCCACCACATTGGCCAGGTGGTACGTGGGGAAGCCATCTCCCTTAAGGATCACTGGGTCTCCCTCCACCTCCGCCACCTCATGCTTGTTCCAGCCATAGACCAGGTCCTGGAAGGGCTCCACACCCCGCTCCAGTCGGAAGCGCACGACCCAGTCCAGGCCCTGTGCCAGCTTCTCAGCCACCTCCTTAGGTGTCAGGTGCCGGCACCGGTTGTCATACCTTTGAGAGAGGAGAATGGAGGAGTCGGGTCAATATAGGCCAAACCCAGCAACACATTTCACATTCCCAGAACATGGATTCATGACTTTTAGCTGTGATCTGTCCACTGCATATCTACACAACCCCTCCATCCTCACACATCACTGCCTTAAACCTCTAAAGTTGTGAAGACAGCCCTGCTGCCACGTACTTAGCCCTACATTTGGGAGCAAGGGGCACAGAGGGGACAGCCTCCTACCGCGGGGTCTGCTGGTTACGCAGGGCCTCCTTCCTGAGCAGCTCCAGGCGCTGTGGGGTGCAGAAGCAGCGGTACGCAGCACCGCGGTCCAACAGCACTTCACTGGCGGCCCTGTAGAGGTCGAGCCTGAGGGACTGCTGGTAGGGGCCAAAGGGACCACCACGCCGAGGGCTCTCATCAGGGGGAATGCCTGGAAGAGCCATACAGTAGGCCCAAAAAAAGTTCCAAAACCCCCTCTTTCAGTTGTGGAATGAAAAAAAAAAAAAAAAAAAAGCATAGAATCAAACACCTCCAGATCCCTTCTGGCAAGCACCCACATGCAGAGAATGTACCAACGTACAGTGAGGTCTGAGGTCTTCTGGTCTGTGAGGTTTCCCACACACAGGCCCTGTTACAGCTGTGTTGTGCCACTACTGCAGGTGGGAATCTGTGTGTCAGACAGTGCAGACCTGATGCTCAGTCCTACGCAGCTCAGCACTACTTTATCACAGAACCATTGAATAGTTTGAGTTAGAAGGGACTTCTAAAGGCCATCGGGTCCCACTCCCTGCACTAAGCAGGGACACCCTCAGCTCCATCAGTGCTCAGAGCCCCATCCAGCCTGACTGCAGCTGTGTGCAGGGATGGGGCACCACCACTTCTCTGGGCACCCTGTGTCATTCCTCACTGCCCTTACTTTAAGTAACATTTCCCTTATAACCAATCTAAACTTCCTCCCTTCTGGTTTGAAACCAAACACAAAGTCTTCCTGGTGCCAAAACAATAGCTGTGTCATTACATTTTAACAAATTCACCACGTTTGAAACACCACGTGCTTTGCTACCCTGCAAAATACCCTCGTTCTCTCACTGCCCATCCCCAGGCAAAGGTCCTAGTGGCTCCGGCACTGGACTCGCTGCCTGGGGGCTTACCTGCCCAGTGCAACATGCCCTCTATGCTCTCGGCAGCCCCGGGCACCACCCGGCCTTGGTCGGTGTCCTCCACTCTCAGCACGAAGGTCCCCCGCTGCTGTTTGGCAAAGATGTAATTGTACAGCGCGGTGCGGAGGCCGCCTAGGTGCAGGAAACCTGTAACCGTGTGCAAGGCACGGAAGAGCGCAGTGACCGGAGAGAAAGCGAACGGGGCATCTCCCGCAGCCCCAACCCCTGCTCAGCAGCGCTCCCGCCGCTGGGTCAGAGCCGCCCTCAGGCTGACAAGACCATTACCTGTGGGGCTGGGCCCAAAGCGCACCCGCGGCCCCGACACAGCCGCACCACACACGTCCCTAAGCACCCGCGCCATGCCGCCGCGCCGTTTCCGCCCGCCGCGCTCAGCCAATCGCCGCGCTCAGCCAATCGCCGCGCTCAGCCAATCGCCGCGCTCAGCCAATCGCCGCGCTCAGCCAATCGCCGCGCTCAGCCAATCGCCGCGCTCAGCCAATCCCCGCGCTCAGCCAATCCCCGCGCTCAGCCAATCCCCGCGCCCGCCGGCGCCGGGGGGCGGAGTTTGTCGTCCGGGGGCGGTGCCCTTAAAGCCGGGAGAAGGCTACCCGGGGGCGAGATTGAAGGAGGAGATCCGATTGGCGGGCGGGGCCGAGGGCAGAGCGGCGACTGGCGGGCGGGGCAGTGGGCGGGGCAGTGGGCGGGGCAGTGGGCGGGGCAGTGGGCGGGGCAGTGGGCGGGGCAGTGGGCGGGGCAGTGGGCGGGGCAGTGGGCGGGGCTACGGGGGCCGGCGCTACGGGGGCCGGCGCGGCCCAGCACGCAGCGGCGGCGTTTCCCGGCGCCCCCCGCGGCAGATTGTACACAATCATCATGGCCGCTATCTCATCCGCCGCCGCCGAAGGTAGGAGCGAGCGGCCCGGGACGACTCGGGGCCGGGGCCGGCGGGGCGGGGCCGGCTCGGCGCGGGGCGGGGCCGGCCGCGGTAGGCGGAACGCCGAGGGTCGGAGCCGGGCGGCTCCGCGGGGCCGGGCTCTTCCCCTTCGCTCCCCGCAGGTGCCGCGGAGCCGGGCATGGAGGCCGAGGCGCCGGGCTGCGGCGGGGAGGGCGGCTCGCCGCGGGGCGAGGGGTGCCTGGCCGGGCCGGCTGGCGCCGTCAGCAACGGCAGCGACACGGAGAGCGGGCAGGAGCTGGTGGAGCTGCGGGTGATCTGGAACAAGAACAAGTACGACGTGAAGTTCCGCCTGGACAGCACGGGCGCCGACCTGAAGCAGAAGATCCACTCGCTGACAGGTGCGTGGGGCGGCCCCCAGGCCCCGTCCCGGCCGCTGCCCCCTGACCGGTCCTCGTTCCCCTCAGGCCTGCCGCCCGCCATGCAGAAAGTGATGTTCAAGGGGCTGCTGCCCGAGGAGAAAACGCTGCGAGAGATCAAAGTCACCAACGGTGCCAAGATCATGGTGGTGGGCTCCACCATCAACGACGTGCTGGCTGTCAACACGCCCAAGGATGCTGCGCAGCAAGAGGGGAAGGTGGAGGAGAGCAAGAAGGAGCCGCTCTGCAGGCAGAAGGTGCCGGGGTCCTGGAAGCCTTTGGGGATGGGGTGGGTGGGACCGTGTGCTGCTTGTGCCGTGCTGTGTGCCCCCCGGTTGTGGGGAGGCCTGGCGGGGCTGTGTGGTCCCTCCGGGGCTGTAAGCAGTGGAAGCGTTTCGTGTTGTTAGCATAAGCAAAGCCAATGTTAATTATATCTCACAGCTAACTAGTTTTTGTTGGTGTAAAACAACTGGATTTCTAAGAAGTGTCTTTAAAGTAGGTGTGGGGGCAGTTCCCTCCGTGCTGAAGGCAGCTTGGCTGCTGAGCATCCCCCTCACACCTGGGACTCCCTCGTGTAGTACCGTTCTGTGGCTGCACTGCAGTGCTGTGGGCTGGAGGAGGATTTTCAGCTCACGGTGTCAGCGACCTCCCTCAGATGAACTAGATTAAAGACTTAAAATGTACACCATTGATCTGCAATCTTTATGAGACGTGCTTTTGTTTTTCTATAATTTATCATAGTTCACGTTCACTGTAAGTTCCATCATTGCTTAAAGGTACTCAGCAACTTATGAGCTCTGAGCATGGTTTTCTTGGTTACTACTGCTCTAATCTTCCTGTTTGGTGCTGTGTTGCGGTATGCTGCACTGTCAGATCTAGAGGACTTTCTGCCATTCACTGAATATAACCCCTGACTGTTAAAAACTGTCTTGCCCAGTGCCAACCATGTGACTCAGCATGTACTTTTCAAAGTGCAACTTGTATTCTTTTTATGTGTATATATTTATGTATTTGTGCATCCTGCAAAGGATGCATACCCTTATATGCATTATATTGGGATTTTATTCATCTCTGTAATTTATTCAGGCTATTATAGGGAGTGCTCGGTTAACTTTGAAAATTAACTGTTTCCTGCGTGATAAATGACTATGGATAGTCTTTAACTGTCTCCTAGTGCTATTGGGATCTGTTGGATTCAGGGTGTGTTGGAAGTAAATTGAGAAACTCTGTTGTGTTTCTGTAAATTCTCATTTCTGTTTTTACATTGTAGCAACACAGAAAAGTATTGGATAAAGGAAAACCTGACGATGTGATGCCTTCCATTAAAGGTGTTCAGGTAGGTGAGTGGGCACCTGGGGCATTGTCACAATCAGAGTTGGTTTGAGACCAACTGTGCTGGTTTTAGCTTTCCTTTCTGTTTGGGAACAAAACTGCTAAATTGGATCGTTCTTATGCTTCAGAAAGTAAGAAGATGCAGCTTTTCCTGTTCCTCTTTCCCTGTGACTTACCACGTTGTCTTTGTTGTAGGAGCACCTACCTGCTGTGCCATTATCTGGCATGTACAACAAATCAGGGGGGAAAGTAAGATTGACCTTTAAGCTCGAGCAAGACCAGCTATGGATTGGTACAAAAGGTGAGAAATGCTAAAACTCTGAGGTGGTTAATTGGTAATTGGAGTATAAGAAAACTGTGGGAATGAGAAATATCTTCTGGCGTGACTGCGTTGTGTTTAAGAGATAATATTGTCTCGTTCCTTCAAAACTAAACTCTGCTGCTGTTTCTCAAATGCCATTCTCTCAGATCGTTGGACATTAGCTGATGCGTTATTTCTGTTCTTGAAAAGCTTGAGCTTAGTGGTGCCAGTAGGTGCGTGTTCCAGTCTGCTACTCGTAGATCCAAACGTGAATTACAATATTTGGCATTTCTCATGTATCTCAAAAGCACTGCATAAACATTGGTTCAATGCCAGCATCTCATAGAGGCCCGATGATTAGGCTGAGACTCTGCAGATTCATAGAACTGGGAATAAGAGTAGGAGTGTTGGCATATTTGTCGTTATCTGTCCTCCCAACAAAAATTAGGGGGGTGTCTTGTTTCAGTGATGTGCAACTGCAGGAACTGCAGCGTGTGTTGCTGTGCAGAGGAATCAGTTTACTGTCTCGAGTGGTGCCAGGAGGAGCTGAAAGTGCTGTGGTGATAGCATGCAGCACTGAGAGTATCTCAGAGAATCCCCTGCCTCCAAAGGAAGCTGTGCACTTTCAGTTTGACCGGGATGGGACAGTAATTGTAATGAATAGAAGGGCTTGCTTACTGTGCCAGTAAAGAAACCTAATTGGTTGTAGTATCAGCTTTGGATGGCACATTAAGCTGCTACATTATTTCCAAAGTAAGCAGAAATCTCCTTTCCTACCTACAACAAACATGATTGTGAAAACTTTCTGGCTTTAAAAACTCTGTGGCTACCCATTGGAGTAGCATCTCTTAGAGCAAGTAACAGAGATTATCTATCTTCCCTTCTATAGGTCGGGCAGCTGAGTTTTTTTTTTGTCATTGATAATGTATTCAAAATGCGTGGTTAATGTGTAGGTAATCAATACTCTTCCCTTACCTTGTACATCAGTTTCAAGTTCAGTATTTCTGAAGTGCTCTAGATGACTGCTTCTTAAGCTTTGAAACTTGATTCTTCATGTAATTGACTGTCTTTAATATAACCTGTTTCCCTACTTCCCGAAATTAGCAGCAGCTTACTTCCTTCAGGGACTGGCTGTAATTGCTGGCTGTTGTTAGGGGAAGAACTCCTTCCTGCTGTGAGAAATGTGTGGCACATACCATGCATCAGGGCTAGGATGAACACAACTGGCTGTTAACGTGGTTTTTTCATTTGTCAGTCCTGGAAAACTGAAACTGATTGTTTTGTCTTTACATCACGATGTTTATTTCCTTGGGGTTAAGTCCTCAGAAAGGAGTGGGGACATAAGAGAGAAATCTGCCACTAGTGATGTTCTTTGTGCTTGCTGGTGGCATCAAGCTGCAGGCATTGTAGCCATCTTCTCGCTGTTTCTTTCCCTGTTTACCTGTAAATGTTTCTTTGCCTGTGCTCATAAAGCAACCATGGAGCATTTTCTCAGGATGAAGCTGGGGCTGGCTGAGGGTTAGCGAGCCTCACTTTGCTCAGCTGTCTTTAGCCTTGTAGTTCTGTATATCCTTGATAGTCAGTCCTGAATTGCTCTCCCCTGGCCTGGCTCTGACTGTGAGCACCGTGCTGGTAAGAGTGGAGTTTTTGGAAGTAATGGAGGTGGTGTTTGAAGTTAGCATGACATTCTGCTTCCTCATACATCAGAGATAATGCTTTGATCAATTTTAATGTAGAGAGAACAGAAAAGTTACCCATGGCGTCCATTAAAAATGTGGTGAGTGAACCTATTGAAGGACATGAGGATTATCACATGATGGTAAGTAACGTCTCCACTTCAATAATATCATTCCAGTTACAGAATATGCAGAAGTAAAGCTATCAGAATAGAGCAGTGCTGAAACTGAAAGCAGTACCAGCTTGGTGTGTTGTGGAATGTCAAAATGTCAACATTGTCTGCTAACACAGTGTAAATATTTGGGCTGGCACACTGGGTGTCTGCTACTCTGTGGAAATCTGGGCTGGTTTCACAAGTGTCAGTGCAAATCAGTATCCTCTCTCTTTTGACAGCACTTTTTTTTTTTTTTTTACTGCTGTAATAGCTTAACTCAGGATTTCTTAATGTTAGAGAGGCTTTTCTTTATCTAGTTTAATTTCTGCTTTCTACTGTATTCTGTTTGTATAAACAGGCCTTGCTGGACATTTAAAAGTGAAAAGTGATTTGATTCTGTAATATTTTTCCCCGTGGGATTTTCTGAAAAACTGCTATTGGGTACAGGAAAGTAACACAGTTAAGAGGAGAGCAGTGCTGATTCTGCTGGACTTTTTTTGTCTGTTTCTTTTAATCTCTGGTTTCTTTTGAGGTTTTGCTTTATGGAGCACAATAAGTAACCTCTAACGTTGAAGTAAGTTGCTCAGATGAGTCTGTGCCCGTTTTTAGGGGTACCATCTGCAGGAGGGAGCTGGTCGAGTCTTTGCTCAAACATTTGGTTTTTGATTACTGATAAAAGAAAAGTCCTCTTCTGGAGATGATACAATAATGATTCTGAGGCAAGGGTGGAGGTTATCGGCATGCTATGGTGCTCGTCCTCTCCTCTACCTGCTGACAGAACTAGAGAACAGGACATTACCTAAATCTATTTTAATCTGTGAGATTTCACCAATTAAAACATGATCACTGCCTAATTAGTTCCTGCTCAGCTTCCTAGCTCTGCGCATTCTGCATTCCAGTAGTTGCTGTACAGACTTATCCTTGGGTCACACAGTACGTTCTGTCTTCCAGAGTAAATTCCTCACGGCCTTGAAACTGGCTGAGAGATTTTGCTGCAGCGAGAGTCTCTTAAAAGGAAAGAGCTCATCGCTGCCTACTTTGCAGCTGCTTCACAGAGGGCCGCTTCCTTTAATTTCGTATGAAATGCATGTAGTGCACAGAGGTGTTTGGAGGAGGCCCTGGTGTAGCAGGCTTGTGTGATTGTGCAGGGGATAAACGTGCGTCCTCTCTGTCTGCTATCAGCTGTTCTGTTTCCCGTTTGTAAATGTTGTTGTTCTTGACTTTGCAGGCATTTCAGCTGGGCCCAACAGAAGCGTCTTACTACTGGGTCTATTGGGTACCAAATCAATATGTTGATGCAATCAAAGACACGGTGCTGGGAAAATGGCAGTATTTTTGAAAGCACGCTCACCTCTGGCACAGGAAAATGACACAAAGCTAAGGACACTGCTGGGAGAGGCCTCCAGCATGCCTGGATGTGACAGTCCTGGAACTTATTAATAAAATATGATAAAAGAGGCATTGATGGAAGCCAGAGGTGATGTTCTTTCACCATTAGTTTACTTTTAACTTAAAATTTTCACCATCCCTTTTCTGCAGTCAGCTTCAACCGTATTTAAAGCAAAATGCAGTGGAAATCAATAAATTCTAATTCACAAAATATTGTGTGTAATACACTTAAATCTGCTGAGAGTTGATCTTCCAATTTAGTTTTAAAAAGAAACTATTACAATGTATTACTGAGGCTTTTTTTACATGGTTTGAACAAAAACAGCTATTTTCATAATCTTTCAGTTACGAGCATTAGACTTAATTTAGTGACTTGGTTGTGACTGAGAATTTCAGAACCAGTTTATTTTTAGAAATAAACTTGAAGCAGTGTAACAGTATGCAAAATGGATGTTCAGCAAGCCATATTCTGCTGGCCCTTTTCTTTCGGGTTTGAATCTTTGGTGGCAAAACTCTGCATTTATTTGTTAAACCCAAAGATGCCCACCCTTTTTTTTTGGTTTTGTTCAATTTCCCCCTCTCTCCCAGTGCTGGAAGCTGTTTGTTGATACTCCGTGGCACGTTTGGAGCAGAGGAACACGGCTGTGGATGTTCTGTAAGCACTGTGAGCCGGTGCTGCTCACTGTCCTGCTTTGTGCCACCGTTGTTTCCCTCTCTGCTCCACTTGTGCCCGGAGTGCTGCGTTTTGGAGCTCTGTGCACACTGCAGCCCTGGGTCACATTGCAGCTGTTGTGACGATGCTTTCCTGTCTGACTGGAAAACAAACCTACAGAAAGCTCCGGGCTCTGTGACCGTGCTGCTGTGTGTGAAGCAGTAATGCAGGTCTTGCAAAAGAGGCAAACCTGATGGGCTTTCCTTCCCCTGTGTGTGTTGGGGAGGAGGACAGAGATGGGAGAGGGAAGTTCTGATACCATTTTGCATCGTAAATAACTGCAGTAGCCTTTTGTGATCCAAATCTGAAAGCGTATGAGTATCTTCTTCAGTGAACCCTGCCAGACCAGGGGGATCTGTATCTGTCCAGCAACTGACCTTCTGAAATTTCAGTTACCTTCCAGCTTTTCTTTGGCTCAAGTTTACAGTAAGTTCTTACAGTAAGTTCTTGCATCCAGTTCTGTCTGAAATACCGTTCTGTGCCATTGGTTTGTGGTATTTGGTGTCATCTCAGCAATTAACGTGCCATTTATCTCAGGTTTTCTGCAAGGACCTTCCAGTCCTGACAAGGTGCACACCCCTACCGGATTGTATGTGCAGTCAGACTGAGTCAGTCTGGTTGTGTGTTAAATCTGCAGCTAACAGATCGCTGTTTGGTTTTGGTTGTTTTAACCCTGTAAACTTAATGTTCCTCGATCCAAATAGCTCAGCATTTTGTGAAACTTGCTTAGAAATATCCTTTTAGGAACAGCTGAACTGACTATATTCCATATCCATTTTTCACTTGCCTTGAAATAGCCCAGTTGAAACTCAGCAGGTGCAAACTCCTCAAAGTATTTTGTTCTATCCGAGAGATTTGGGAAAGTGTTCACTTCATGGTATATGTTAAGAGTGCTTATTTACCTGTAGGTTCTTGATAGCAACGTAAGCAGCTTTTGTTTTGTCCTTTCAGTTAGAGCATTGATGCAGTACGAATTGTAAAGGTGTTCCATATCCAAGGTAGAAAATAGTGATGTTCTGGTTACTCCCATAGTGTGAGGTCTCTGCCTGTGGTGCTGCAGCAATGCAGGAGCCCTGGGGGCTGCAGGCGGGGGCTCTTGCAGTGGGTTGGAGGTAGCAGTTCTTCTGTCACTCTTACTTTCTGATTGCCAGTGCAGGTGTTAAAGCTTTAATTTTAACTTTCAGTCTCTGGTGGAAGGTGTATGTGCTGCAGCACTCCATCATTTGTTAGAGCTGGTGTATGAGGGTAATTAATGATGCTGGTGTCTTCTGTCCCCTGGGTTCACCTTTGCACTCATCTGTCTCTTTTATTCTGGCTGTCAGCTCCACTCACTGCCTGGTTTGCTTGGAGCTCTCTGCATCCATTCACACTCTATTTCCTCCCCTGTTCTTTCCCTGTCTTGCCTCTAAGAGGACTTGTCTGTGGCTCAGCTCCTTCCCCAGGTGCCGTGGGATCTGGCTTTGGTGCAAGGATCATGGTGAGTACACATGGCACCAAGGGCACTGCCCACTGCCATGGCCTGAGGGCACCAAGAGCAGCAGTGTGTCTTCCCTGCACCTTCCCAGCCTGTCCCACCCTGTGCTGGGAACAGCAACTTGTCTCAAACTGAGTGTGAAAGTTGGGGGGTTACAAAGCAGCTTTAGATATGAAGAAGAAAAAATTATAAACAAAGGTGATCAAAAGTGGCCCTGTTTAGGTGCTTCTTTTCTATTTAAATTTGATTTGAAGACTTGAATTTCTTTTATTCTATGTGTAAAATTTAATTTAAAATATAGGAAAGTGATGCTTACTGGAAATGCTTTAATTGGTGTTTGTTGGGTCGTTACAGCGGGTTTCTCAGGAGTTCTTTGAAGCCAATATTCCTGCTGAATTTAGCAGCATTTCTTTTAAGATCCTCTCTCTTTTGGAAGGATGTGGAGCTCTGTATCTTCTGCTGCGTGCCCATTACTCCGAGGTGGTTACTGTCATTGATCAATAACATCCAAGAGAGCATGCTGTGTGCTTAGCCCAGCTGTGCTGCAGCCCGTCTGACCAGAGCTGTGTGCCAAGCTTCTCTGGGTTTTCTCTGAGAGCTGTGGTGCTCCCCAGGGCTGGCGGGCACGGAGCAGTGCTGTGCAGGAGGCAGCTTTGGTCCCTGCTGAGACACGGTGTCAGAGGTGATGTGAAGATGTAAGCAGTGCTTTCAGTTGGCTGATGAAGGTTGCTTTGAGATCCAGTGTGTACTCTTCCATAAGATTTCTGGTAATAGCTGCAGTGATTCCTATGCAAAAGCTTAATTACTTCACTTAAACAACAATTTGATGCCTTTCTATGGAGATTGTTTCCCTGTTGTGTGTACAAGTGTCATTTCCCACGAGCTGTTTTTGGGGGTTCCTTAGGAAACCATACCAGGTGTGTCGGGTTTACTGCTCAGCGATGGAAGCAACCAGAACACAAATGTGTAGTGGCAGCTGCAATCTCCACCCCACTGCTGCCCTGTCTCCCCCAGCAGCCCTGTTTGCTACTCGGGGTGCTCCACCTCCCCCAGTGCTGTTCCCACATCCCCTGCCTGCTGCCAGGGTCCCTCTCCTCTCCTTGTTCAGAGCACAGCATTCCTTCTGCAGCCACTTTGCATCCCGAGCATGAACGATTCCTGGATTCGTTTTTCATCTGGGTTTTTAAAAGATATCATTTAAACTTTGTTTGGGTCCGATGACAGAATGTATCCTGCATGAGAGTGCTGCATTATTTACGCATTTTTCATATCAAGTTTAAAGTAAATAAGTAATTTCTGTTAGTGATAGAGTCTGATGAGAAAACAGGTGACTAAAATCATAAAAGAGAGTAGGGGAGATGAGTTCCATGACCCAGACGAGCTGTTCACACATCTGGCACACACACATCTCACACACACAAGGTGCCATGTCAGCCCCAGTGCTCTGTGCCCGCTGTCCATGCTCTGTGGCTGCCCATGCCCCTCCAGCACAGCGTTCCCACCCAGCACTGTGCCAACCCCACGCAGCAAAGTTTGCTTTCAGGCCTCCCTTCCCTTGTTGGCTTTCTCTTTCCCTCTGTAACCTTATTTCCCAATCAAACTGTTTTCATTCTGTGCCACGTCCCCCTGTTGCCTTCAGCCACGGATTTGCTCTCTGCACTCACGAAGGTTCACGATGTCTTATCCATGTTCTGAGCAATTCTTGTTTTAAAAACAAAAAGATCTTCGATGTTTGTGTCCACTGCAGATTTATTTTAAATGGAATATGTAAGTACCATGTTTAATGGTATTTTTAAATAATCTATTGCCTATTTCTGGGGAGCGGGAGATGACATATTTAGTCTTAGATTTGCACTGCTGGATTTTTTAAGTGTAACCTTGACTGGTTATCCTATTGTTTTATTCTGTAAGATTAATTAGTCTTATGAATTAAAGTTTGATAATGAAGTCTGGCTGTGTTGAAGTCTTTGGGCATTCTGCACACACCAACTGCAGCTCATGGCTGGGGCCTGGTGTGTGCCTGTGGGTGTCACAGCTGGGAGCCCCTGCACCGGGGCTGATCCTGATGCCATCAGCGTTGCTCTCTGGGAGCGGTTATTTCAGCTCGGTGCTTTACGTTGCTAATTACAAAAGGAGGTGGGTTATAGGCGGTACTTCCTTCGCTCCCTGTTCAACCGTAGGCTACAGCCTTGGTTTAGTTCATAGGATGCCCGTATTGTGCTGAGTGTGCCCAGCCAGTATCCTTATATGGGCAGGGTCAGCCCCCAAAAAGCAGATGCCCCTACAGCCCTGACTCTCAAAGCTTAGCATGTGCTGTCCCGTGTTTGTTACTGGCTTTAGAAACTTCTCCCCCCTCTCTGTCGAGCGAGAGGAGGAAGAATGGGATGAGATAAACTTACAGCGTTATTGCCGCAATGAAGTTCAACGCAGATGATAACATACGTGCGTCAGATGGAGTAACGTCCCTTCAGCGCGATATCGAGGCGCGCTGTAAATCATAAGAGGCAATGTCATAATCTGCAGGGTCGGGAGGGGGGATCTGCGCGCGCTCCCCTTCCCCTCCAGCGTGTCTTTGCGCATCAGATCCCCGGCGCTGCCGCAGGAGAGGCAGCCCAGCGTATCGGCACGGCGCGGCGCAGCTCCCGGAGGCGCTGCCCGGACCGCCCACCCCCCGCCCCGTCCCCGTACGGCCGCCCCGGGCCGGGAGGGGGCGGCGGGGAGGAAACCGCGTCCTGGTTCCGGCCCGGCCCCGCCGCCTCTCGGGCGATAGCGTGGCCCCGCCCGGCCCCGCGCTGTGCCCCCGGCATGCCCGGGCCATGAGCGGCCCCGCCGCGCTGTTCTCCGAGCTGCTGCTGCTCCTCGTGCTGCTCCGCGCGCCGCCCGCGCAGGTACGGGGTGAGCGGGGCTGAGCGGGGCGCGTGGTTCCGCGAGCGGCGCTGAGGGGTGCGCGGAAAGCTGCCGTGGGACGGCCGAGTGCGGGAGCGGAGGGTGCTAGAAGGAGAAAAGAGGGACGGAGCTGCGGGGG